CTGTGTAAACGGTGCTGAGTGGGAAGCTGCAAGAACACTGACAGGATTATCAGGAAAATGCCCCACGCTTTAGCCACCGAGGCAACGAGAGCTGACCGAGCAGAACGCAGGATGTGCACGTGACCAGGCGGCTGCAACCCGGCCTCTCGTTTCCTGCATCCATTCTCTCTCTGTTTGCTTCATGTGCCTGGGTTGAAATCTAGGATCCATCAGCACCTGTGACCTCAGGTACAGAGTTGACCCGTCCACAGTCTCCTTGTCTGTCAAATATTAATAGAGAGGATCGCAGTGTGCTCTCGTTAAACTGTCTGCTTATCTTCCCTAAATTATTCACTAGTGAGGAAAATGCCCAACAAACCAACCAGTTTAGGATAAACTGAACCCACCAGCCACGAAGGAGTTCACCTTATCAAAAATCCATCCAAATGTCATTAAAGTGTCCAAAGAAGCCCCACCTAGAGCTGATAGAATTCATGGTGGTTAAAAGTGGCAGAATTATCAAAACCTGGAAGAAAACATCGTTAACCTCCTCACATGAGTATACAGGTGCATTTCTATACTGTAAAACACAACGGTTTAAACACATATTGTGATGTTGTCTTGGGGATCATACCAGCGAAGAAGGGATGACCAAGTCCAATATGACATCATTTCTGTGGGGAAAGGGACTGCCTTAAATCAATTTCCTATGAGGTCAGAGTGCAGGAGCAGAAAACGGGCATCAGGAAGCCAGTTGGCGTTGCTGAGGTCTGGGTTAAAGCAAGGCCAGGAGTGAGGAGGCAGGCCACTGGAGAGGTGCTTAGAATACCACAGGCATCATTTCATTTGGCTCCATATATTCTTGTAGAAATGAAATATATAGTTTGGCAGAGGCCAAATCCATTTAAACAAGAAGAATGCACTGCTCTTAAATCTGAGATAATAGCAAAAGAAATGGGCTTTCCTAGTTGATATATACATGCACCATGGTACTGTAACACACATAAGGCCAGGTAGAAATAGTTACACACACACACACACACACACACACACACACACACACACACACGAGGATTCTCGTGAGTTCATTTCACCGACCTCTACAGTGTGGTTAAGGGTTCAGGGTGTCATTTGGAGGTTGTTATCTGACTGCTCCAGCCAGATAATTTATCATGTGATCTGTGGAGCGCTCCTTTTGCTCTAAATAAGAGGTTCCAGGTAGAAGGCAGCTGCCCCAGCACTTTTTCAGGAGCCCTGCGGAGGTGCCAGGGCTGCTGGGCTCAGGCAGACCTGGAGCTTCAATTAGGAAACACAGCTGCTGGAGCTGGAACCATCCAGCAAAGGGCTGTGAAAATGTAGTCCTGAGCTATCCCAGGCTACACTGGCAGTCCTGAGCTATCCCATGCTACACTGGCAGTCCTGAGCTATCAGTTGCTACACAATGAGGAGTGTCTGCTGTCAGAAATGAAAAGTGGCCATTTTGACATAGAATAGGATGGGGAAGGGATGGCCACAGATGTGGAAAAAGTCTCAGAGAAAAAGGCTCTGGAGAAATAGTGGGCAGTAGACTGAGATAGCCTACATGACGCCTTCTGTCCTCGCTATGTTACCTCAGTTGACACCACCACTCTCCTCTCTTCACATTTCCTGTGCCTCTGATGGGAGGCGTCATTCTGTAAATCTGTCTCTTATTGGTTGTTGAATAAAGCACTGTTGGTCAATAGGGAATCAAGATAGGTGGGACTAGGAGTCAAGGAGGATTCTGGGAAAGAGAGACACAGAGAGACATCATATAGGCGCCAGAGGAGTAAGAAGTTCAGACCCTTTTATCCGGTAAGAGAAATACTTAGATTAATAATTATGGGTTAAATACTTAAGTCAGACCTAGTCAGTAAGAAACAGAGCAAATGGCCAACAGCTTTATAATTAATATAGTGTCCTGTGTGTTATTTGGGGGTTCAGACTGCGGCAGAGCCCAGGCGACTGGCAAGGAAAACTATTCTCTACATGCCTCCAATCTCTCTCCTGCCTCTACTGCATCTTTCTTTCCCCTCCTCCCTCTGTCTCCTCCCCTCCTCCCCCTCCTGTCCTTGCCGCTCCCTCTCCAAATCTCCTCTTTTTCTCTGCTCTTTCATTCTTTTTCTTTGTTGAGACAAGGTCTTCATGTGACCCAGGTTGGCCGATTCCCCTGCCTCAGCCTCCCCAACACTGGGATTACAGGCCTGTGCTGTTGGATCTAATTCCTTTTACCTTGTGCACTTTGTATCAACTGGTGTGTTTATCTCCAAATGCAAACTCGTGTGCTGGATCTGGGTGGATGAAAGTAAATGGGTTCACAAGGAAATGACATCTGAGTCTAGACTTAGTTTTACCGTGGATGCACAGGAAATCAGGGATGCACAGGAAATCAGGGATGCGGGGAGTTGGAGGGGAAGATGAGCAGCCCCAGCAGAGAGCTCAGTGGGTAGGTCAGTTGCAGGTGGTTCTTTGCTGATAGGTGTGATCCTTTTTAGTAACCACAGGCCATCATTCTCGGGAACTCTTCTTACTCTAAAGCTCTGAGTCCTGGGATTCCTTTAGGGAAATACCCAAGACTAAAGAGGAGGAGGCCAGGAATTTGAGAATGAACTGGGGGTGGGCACATGGGAGGAGTAGGCTGAAGGAAAGGGAGGGTAGAAACATCATATACTTACATTTTAATTAAAAGGAAAGAAAAAATTGACAGAAACCATGCAAAAATAAGGTTTTTTAAAGTTAGTATTGTGGGACTGGAAAGATGGCTCAGCGGTTAAGAGTACTGGCTATTCTACCAGAGGACCCAGGTTCAACTCCCACATGGCAGTTCACAACTCTCTGTAACTCCAGTTCCAGGGTACCCAACACCCTCATACAGACAAACATACAGGCAAAACACTAATGCACACTAGAGTTAGTATTGCTTTCTAGTTAGCAGTTCTAGAGAACGTGTGGGAAGACAATTGTTATTAAGTATTCGTTTTATAATTTTTATGCATTCCCTATATAAAGTTGGGTCTTAACCTTTTTATCTTAGATTTTGAGGCACAAGGTAAGAAGACAAAAGGTGAGAGAGAGAGAGAGAGAGAGAGAGAGAGAGAGAGAGAGAGAGAGAGAGAGAGAGAGAGAGAGAGTGGGGGCAAAGCCCGACTTCAACTCTCTAGACTGTTTACGGCACAGCAGGGAGAGGCATCGACCTTCCTTTGGGGCAGACATTGTGAAGGGGAGCACACTGGTCTGGGCTCTTACAGGAGTTCCAGGGCCATAGGTGTGGAGAAGTTGATCCAGCTGCGGATGGTACTTGCAGGGCAAAAATTCTTCAGAAATTTATGGCCCGCTTATCCTGGAACTCTTACCCAAACAAAGTGGGCTACTTTATGAAGGTACCTGCCTGCCTCAGGAAACAGTCCTTCCTGGGTCGCAGATGTGGTTCCCTGGCGACAATTGAGCAGTAAGAGGGAGGCAGTTTCATCTGGACTGCTTTCTGGGTCTGGGACATCCCATTAGTTACAATGTATTTCCTTCATGTTCACCATGCTTGAAACTGTATTTGGTAGCTCTTTATGTAATGTGTCCTTATAAGACTGTTTTATTTAAGGTGGATAGTTCTGATATTGGTGGGTTTTGTTTGTCATAGTTTCCAAGCCCTAGTAGCAGCTGTGTGGACTCCTCCTGCAGGTCTACTTTTCCCCCCCAAACCCCAACCCCCGCACTTCTCAGTTGATTGATACTTAAGGTACTCACTTCACTTGCTTAAGAATTATATTAACTATTCCTTTCCTGGCTCTTTAAAAATATAAAATATAAAAAGGCAAAAGGAAGCTGTCTAAGATTGCTATGGGAGACAGGTGGATCTACGAAGAGAATGCCGTTAAGATGGCGGGACCAAGAAAGTGAACAGAGAGCACCGTGGCTTAAAGCCTCTGCCAAGCAAGACCAGTCTCTGTGCAACACACACACACACACCCACCCATACACACACACATACACAACACATACACACATCACACGCCCATACACACACATATACACATACACATCACACACCTGTACATCACATACACACATCACACACCCGTACATATACACACATACACACATATACATCACACACCACACACATACATACACACCACACACATCACATACCCCACACACTGCCTCCATACATACACAGCACACACATCATACACTGCACATCACATACCCCTACACACATAGCACATCAATACATATACACCACACACATCACATACCCATACACACATACCACACACACACACCCATACATATACCACATGCCACACATACACACACACATACCACACACACCACACACATATTGCAAAAAAAAATTTATGGAAATTTAGCCACTGTGATACATATATATATATATATATATCAACTGATATAGCTATATCATCAGTTTATAAAGGATGCTAAAGCCTTTCTGTAAATATATTGGCATTCTCAGACACTGCATCCAAAATCACTCTCTCTTCTTTCTGTTTTTGGGATGACTATGTGGGCACCTGCTTCGGTCCACGCCATCCAAAGTAAACAAGACAAGTGTTCCAGACTGTGGAGCCCCAGTCACTGATACAGCATGCTCAACACGGTGACATTCAAGATCTGACACTCGGTGATTTTTGCTTTGCAGATTGAAATTCAGCACCACCTCCCTCCCTGACACACCCACTCACAGAGCAGTGCTAGCACAGGGACCATGTGCAAATGCCCCCGCGTCCACGTGACTCTGGGTACATTCCCTTACCCAGCACAGAGCTTCACTCTGCTGGCCGCACTCTCTGAACCCCCCTCCCCCATCTACTAAAAGGTCTCAAAGGGCGAGTTGCTAATAAGTATGTTTATTGCCAACAGTTATCTTCCTGCAAAACCTAAATGCTATTACTTCTCAGGGTGACTAAGAACCTGGCGTTGCCTACAATGCAAGCTCAATGAAACTTCACAGGAGCCTGTGAAGAGTGGGCAGTTAGGGACAGTACCTGGTTTTGAAAGCCACTCTCCAATCGTGATCTGTTGATGAAGCAGAACTCGGGTATTCCCCATCCAATGCCACCCACATACTCGTGTTTATATTTTGGTGGCAGGCTTCGGTTTGGGGCAGATCTCCATAAGTATCTGAGGTCTCCCGTTTTCTCTAGTACAGGACGCTTCTCTCCTATGTAGGCTATATGCTGGTGCACTTTAGACAAGTGGTCTTTTATGTAGTCTGGACCTTAAAGAGACAGAGAGAAAAGCAAGTTTAAAACCTTCTTCGAATTATTTTCTCTGTGTGTCTCTATCTCTGTCTGTCTGTCTCTCACCCTTTCTCATGTGTCAGGGGGAGGGTCTCAGGCACCTCAGACAAGTTTACAAGGTGCTGGGGGATTGAACCCCTTCACATTCCTTTCTAAGATGCCTTTATTTTAATTGTGGAATCAATAATATGGCACTTCTTAATGTCCCTGTGTATGATTAAAAGCCTTTTAAATGGGTTAATCCAATGAATCCTTATTACCAACTGTAGAAGATGAAACTCTGGCCTCCCACCCCAGTTTAATATGGGGAAAGGGAGGAGAATAAAGATTAGTTCTTTGTTCAAAGTCAAAGCAAACAAGCTCTCTACACTGGCCAGGCTGCCTTCAAAGCTGGGCTCTCAGTGACCCCACTAAACTGTTTGTAGTTAATTCAGCAGACACATTTCAGTGTTAAAGTTCCTCATCTAAGCCATATTGGCAAGGACTAGCCTTCAGACACTGGGGTTTTTGTTTCACATATAGGACTTCTTAAATGACAGTGAAAATGCCCCAAATACATTAGAAGCAACTAGAGAATTGAGAAAATGATTTGATAGGACAGTTAAAACAGATGATGATGACTTAAGGCAGGGGTAGCTAACATTAGCATTTTAAATGTAAAACAATAGAAATAATCAGTAAAATGAAAGACAAACAAAAATCCCAGATCTGGGAAAGATCACTCAGGTCCACACTTTGAAATTGATGATGTGTGTGGGAAAGGACAAGCCTTTCTGGAAGAATGCTGCAGGTTATGAAAGCTTACTCACCCGGGGAGGGGCTTTAAAGTTCCAGAGCCAGAGTGGGTGTTAGATTGGTGAAGGGGGCCATGAGGAGCACACACACACACACACACACACACACACACACACACACACACACACACACACACACACACACGCCCGCTTCCCCTAGGCAGAGAGAAGAAACCACAGCTCACCCAGCTCCAGGCACTGTTATGGTGAGCAAGTATATGGTGGGGAATGAGAGAGGGAGGCAGCATGGTTCGTGTCCTATGGAGAGAGGCAGATCTGAAGAGGCAAAGGCCAGGAATGGGCTAATGTGGGATGCCTGCTTGCCACCTGGTGCCTTGGTGACATCTGGGTCTTGGGCCGTTGTCAAGGGCAATGTCTGGGTCCAAGGCCCTGCCACAATCTCAGTCTGTGTTGAGGTCCATGGCTTCTGTTATCGCCAAAGACCATGAGGATGCTTGGAGTCTGGGTCGCCACCTATGAGCATGTTGGTGTCCCAGGACCTGAGATGCCACCCAGGGCCATGGAGACATCTGGGCTCGACCTGTTGCCAAGGACCATGTCTGGGTTTGTGGCCCCATTACAGCCACTACTGTGTTCATGTCTGTAGCTACTGTAACCTCCAAAGACTGCACAGTTGCCTGGGGTCTGGGACTGATCCTGTGTGGGGTCTGGGACTGATCCTGTGAAACCACAGCAGGATCTCCGTGACTGAGGCAACAGCAGGATGTCCAGGAGGTGCTTCAGTGAGCATCTAGTGTTGTGGGTAGACCAGAAGCCAGAGGCTTTGAGCCTGAACAACAGCACATTGCACAGCAAGCGCTTGTGAGTGAAGCTGTTCGGACCAAGAGCGTATGGCGTGGCACAGAGCAGCTCCCAGTGCCCCTGAGATGGATGAAGAAGTCACAGAGACGAAGGAAAGATGCGGGAGTGAAGCCATTTTTCTGTTTGAGGCTGTTCTGGAACTTTCTCTCTAGACAGCCTGGCCTTGAATTCATAGAGACCAACCTTCCTCTGCCTCTGGTGTAGCCTCAACCTTATTTGCTTTGGGTTTATACTGGTAACACACAGACTCACCAGAGCCTAAGAAACCATCTGACAGGGCTGAGGTCTCTGTGTAACCGTCACAGGGAAGTGTTTGCCATTGCTTCTGAAGAGGGTCAGATACTGAAGTGCCGGGTCACTCTCGCTGGGTTTCAGGCCAGTCTTTCCCAAATGTTTCAGTTAATGCTGCTCTCCTGGCTGGACTACAAAGGCGTGTTGTACCAGGCCGAGGCCACAGTCAAGTTACTTGGGAACAGTGCCTGCCTCATTTGCCTTGCAGACAGTCATCGAAGGTAGACTTGGGACTCTGGGTAGCTCAGTGGCAACAAAACTGTTTGTAACTGCGGAATCAGAGTTGGTTTTCTAGGCTGGCATTGTCTTTGCAGAGCTTGCTTGTATGCATCGCACAATCGCTGAGAGGATTAGGGAAATGATAAGCCTCAGCCAGTTTCAGTCCCGGCTAATAAAGTGGGGCTTCAGGTGTTCCTGAGTGGCGGGGCACTCGCCTAGCATGCTCAAGACCCAGGGTTCATGCCCAGCACCATTAACACACACACACACACACACACACACACACACACACACACACACACACACACACCACCACTACCACTACCACCACCACCAACAAAAACCGTGGTTGTGAGGGTTTTCTGTTTTCTTTGCCGGGGAGCCCAGGATCACACGCACTGTACCACAAAGCAATACTCAGTCAAGATGACAGTGGTGAGCTCAGCTTCAGTAGCTAGAAGCCCTGGTTCTGTCCAGGGCTGGCTGTGTGAGCCAGGGAAGGTCACCAACTTGTGCATCGCACCCCTGATCTGCAGTGTTGCCACCTCCCAGGAGAGGGAGTTTTACTTAACAGAGTGTTTAGCTGGAAATCTGGTCCATGTGTACCTCATCTTCTCTCTGGTCTGTGGGCCTTTTAATGTGAGGCTTTGTCTTACCTATCGCCGATCTTCGTTTATTTGTATCTTGGGAGCTGATGGACTTACTAATGAATGATTTTTTTTCCTTATGGGGAACAAATTTCAAATATTTTCTGCAAAGGCTAGAAAGGAAATTGTTTTGGTCTTGCTGGCCATTGAAATCTGTTTCACCAACTCAATTTTGCCCTTGTAGATCAAAAGCAGCCGTGGGAAAATAGGTAAACCAAAGTGTAGGGGTGAACCCCACAGAGCTATCCGCCCATGAGGGCGGGGACATGTAAATTAACACAGGTAGATATAAAAGGAAGTGAAAGGAAAAGGAGCCTTCCTTTTCTCTTGAAAGCCAGCCATGCTTCTGACTCCTAGCTTGTGCGACTCTCTCTCTGGTAAATAAATATATTGTTTTCCTTATAGCATTGAATATCATCTTTACCAAAGCTATTCATATGTTTCAATAAAAATTATGGGAGGGGCTAAGGAGAGAGCCCAGTTGGTTGAATGCTTGTCTATCATGCATGCAGCCTAGGTTCTAAACTCAGCCCTGCAAAAACTGAGTGTGAGGAAAAACACACACAAAATCCCAGGAGGCAGGAGGAACAGAGGTTCAAAGTCATCTGTGGCTACACAGGGAATTAGAGGTTAGCTTGGACTACATGAGAAAGACCCTGTAACAACTCTCTCTCTCTCTCTCTCTCTCTCTCTCTCTCTCTCTCTCTCTCTCTCTCTCTCTCTCTCTCTCTCTGGTGCTGTCAGCTTTCACAGTAGTAGAATTTGGGGAGTAGAGCTACACAACTCACAACTTGTTCACGAATCCAGGTCAAATGGATCGTGGAGGAGGTGGTTGGGACAGCAATACAAAAGGATTGCTACAGTAAAGCAGCTTGACTGGCTTTGGATTCCTATTCACGACGGTATTTTATTAAGAATGCTTTGCTCATGGTGCCCTTAGTAGTGAGCCAAGTGCAGGGAGGCTTCGTACCTCACAGGTTTTCCACTCCATCGTAAGCATGTGCAATAGGAAAGGCTGAGGCCAGTTCCCGGTAACAGTCACAGAGCTAGTGATAGGACAGTCCCTTCCTGGACCTCTTACCTGGAATGTCCAATCAAAATCTACTCACTCAACCCAAATTCCAGGAAGTCAACACAGGAAGGGTTGGAAAAGGAACCAAAAGGAAGTAGTCATTTTCTTTTATTCTTTTTCCTACATTGTTGTCTTGAATTTATTCTGAATAAAACCAGTGATACTTGTATTATGCATTTCATTATTATTCATTTTATTTCTCTGTGTGTGTGTGTGTGTGTGCCATCCATATGCAGGTACTCATGGAGATCACAAGAGGATGTTGGGTCCCTTAGGGCTCTAGTTACAGGGGTGGTTGCGGGGGGCCATACTCAGGCTCTCTGGGAGAATAGTAAACACTCTCAAGCACTGAGCCAGCCCTACTCTTGTTTTCTTTAAAAAAAAATGTGTCTTTAAAAAGTGTCTAAATTTTCTTGTGACATTTTTGAAATAGCCAAAGGTAAATTAAATAAAGGGATTGTTACAGTGTTTCATAAAGGATTATCATGTTTCTGAGTTTTTTCCTTCAATGAACATACATTTATAGTACACCTTGCACTCTTTTGTATTGTTTTGTAAACTTACTATTTTAGGAGAAATATTGTTTTATGTTGTTTTTTTTTTTAGTTTTGAATTTTAAACTTATTTAGCACCTTTTTGAAGATCAAAGTTCTTTTTCTGAAGTTTTATTAATTTTTATTTTGTGTGTAGAGTCTTGTCTGCACATAAGTGTGTGCATCGTGTGCGTGCTGGATGCTGGGCGGCCAGAAGGAAGGCTCCCTGGCGCTGGATGTACAGAGCTGGTCAGGAATCAGCACGTGGGTTTGGGGAGCTGAACCCAGCTCCTCTGCAAGGGCACCAAGGGCTCCTAACTACTGAGCTATCTCAGCACCCAGAAGAAACTTTTTGATATAAAAAGCATAATTAAGTGGCTTTGGTGAAATATTATTTTCTCTCTCCAATTTCACCAACTTCCTAAGGAAAATGTCAACATGATTGCTATCACACTCTGTCACATTAAGCTGTTGTAAAAAGCATGTTGGCATGCAGAAATTTAAATAAATTTATTCAATGTCATTTATGTCCTAGGCTAGATTAAAAAGCCATGGGGTCTAAAAATTCTTTAGGGTAACAAGATTGTAGTTGTAGATAAA